TGATTTGCTATTTTTTGGTGATTTCATGTGATTTTTTTCCATTAGTTTAGGTAATTTGTGTTTTTATGTGATTTTATATATATTTTGTGATTTCGTGTGATTTTTTAATTGGTTTTGGGTAAATTGGTGTTTGGGGGGGATATTTTTTTGATTGGGTGTGATTTTTTTTTATTAGTTTGAAGTAATTTTGTGTTGTTATTTTATTTTATGACGTCATCAACCTCAATCACCACAAACCTCGTCCACCACCTTAACAACACCCTCCATTACCAACTCTATCACCTCAACATCACCTCAACATCACCTCAACACCACCTCAATACCACCTCAATCACCTCAACACCAGCCTCCATCACATCAACACCACCTCAACACCACCTCAATACTACCTCAATCACCTCAACACCATCCTCCATCACATCAACACCACCTCAACACCACCTCAATACCACCTCAATCACCTCAACACCATCCTCCATCACATCAACACCAAAAAACACGGCACCACCAAAACACTCGTCGATACAGCACACAACAGCAGAGCTTCCCGGACGCTATATTCACGTATATTTAAGTTGGGACCCGGTTATTACAGCACTCACTAATAATGTATATTAACTTCCATTACAATGAACTAGTGAATTTATTATTAGTATAGTCTGTATTATGAATGTGTGTATGTCTGTCTGTGCGTGAGGTGTGTTTGTGTATGTGTGTGTGTGTTTGTGTACGTGTGAGGTGTGTGTGTGTGTGTGTAAAAGCTAGCTACTTCTTACAATAAAGTACAAAAGATTAACAAAACACATCCCTCACTCTCTCTCTAAAAAAAAAAATACACCAGTCAAATCAGAAAAGGCGGACACTGAACTGAATAAAATACACCCAATATAAATACTGTATATACCAGCACTGTACATAGACAAAGCCTTCGAAAAAGACTACACAAACTTCAATGCATAACCCCTTCCCTCCCCCCTTTCCTTCCTCCCTCCTCCCATCCCCCTTCCCTCCCCCTTCCTTTCCTCCCTCCTCCCATCCCCCTTCCCTCCCCCCCTCCCACCCAGGTCTCCGTGTTTTGAGTTTGCCACATCAGTACACGGGATAAAATGGTGGCAGAGGTGGTAGCTATGTTAATTAAAGTCGCAGGGATGAAGTTACAGAAATAATGGTAGAAAATTACAGGTGACATTACTTGTTATTATGAGGGTGATTTGGTGGGGTGGGGGTGTGGTTTCGGGGGGAAGGGGGTGTGGTTCGGGGGGAAGGGGGTGTGGTTCAGGGGGAGGGGGAGGGAGTGATTTACCTGCGTCGTCAGCTGAGGTAACTGTGTTTGTTTTGGTTGTGGTTGGTTGTGTTTATGTTGGTTTGTGTGAGGGAATCTGCTTCTAATGGTGTGTGGAGGTATTGGGAATACATACATACTGTACATACATACATACATACATACATACAGGTACATACATACATACATACAAGTACAGACAGACAGACATATATACATACATACATATATATACATACATACATACATACATACATACATACATACATAAAAACTCACATATGTAGAAAGACACACACATACACAAGACAGACAGGTCGCATGCCTCTATCTGAGAATGATAGCAATTTTACGCGTCATTTTCACGGCAAAATTATATTAATATGAGCGGATGATCATTAAATTTCATAATCAAACTCAAATTAATATAATACAGTTCTTTGCGTGTTCTTTTTTGTTTGTTTGTCTTTCTGTGATATCGAAATGGCTGTTGGTTAGTGTTTTGTTGTGTTTGTTTGTTTGTTTGTTTGTTTGCTTGTTTGTTGTTTGTTTGTGTAGATTTGTTTATTAGTCTGTGTAGAATAATTTGATTGGATGTGTTTATTTATCTGTGTGTATATTTGTGTGATTGTAATCAACTCCGGGTAGGTCAGGTCAGGTCCGGGTTTGTTGATGATATTATAATGTATTACTGTGCCTCAACAACTAAGGTCTTAAATCACGTATTCTAAGTTACCAAATCACTGGTCGTCAACTGCTAAATAATTACTACGTATGTGTAATCAGTATACACAATCAGTCTTATCATAACTAATTTACAATATCCCCTGACTTGGTAACACTGCCTGACATAATGAGGGTTTTGTGTGTGTGTGTGTGTGTGTGTGTGTGTGTGTGTGTGTGTTTCATGATGCACGTGAGGTGTCTACCAACCATAACACACTTAAATAAACATTGACCACGTGTGTTTTGTGACGTCAATACAACCCTAACGTAACCTAAACCTAACCAATACTAACCTAAACCTAACCTAACCTAACCTAACCTGATACTATAATATATATATACACAGAGGTGAGATAAGGAAGGTAATTAAGCGTCTGGCTGGCCTCGCGGGTTCACCTCTGCGGTGTTTCTCTTCCAGTAAATGAGAAATAAATTCATATTTACGGTTTCTGAACACCACCATCATGACGTTATCTGGCCTACAGGGTGTGTGCGTGTGTACTTTTGTGTGTGTGTGTGTGTACGTGTGTGTGTTTTTTGTGTGTGCGAGTGTTTGTTTGTGTGTGCACGTGTATGAGTTTTTTGCGTGTGCGTGTATGTTTGTGTGTGTGTGTATGTTTGCATGTATGTATGTCTGAATTAATCTGATATTCATCTCAAGGTATTGCTACATGTTCCTAGATTCTTACATAAACACTGATTAATTTAATACTACAATTTGATGACAGACGTTGACATAAACTCAAAACTTGTCTTTCCAGGTATGTGTTGTGCTGACGCCTTGTGTTGGGTCACCTGCTTACGAGGGAGGTTAGTACGTGTAGTGTTGACAAGACCCATGTAGTGGTGGGCTATGTGTCAGGACCAGATTTTGGGTTTAGTCTTTGTCTGTTTTAAATATTTGTGTAAGAACCGTAGCATCATTAGCGTCAGTACGAGCAATGAACAGCGACAGGCGATACTTTTCATTCGCACGTTTAGTAAAGATGTATGCAAATATTGACTCGTATGGCTTCTACGCCAGGTGAACCTTCTGCCTACAGTGGCCATCTTTTGCTGCTTTACGATTGAGAGAGAGAGAGAGAGAGAGAGAGAGAGAGTGTGTTATCAGCTGTCACACAATGTTACAGGGTCAGGTTAGGTCAGGTCATGTGTTTAAAGGTGGCACGTGGCTGTTGTTGGACCTCTGTCTGGACAGGAGAGGTCAACCAAGTAAAGCCAAGTGTCATGGCAACTGTGACCCCTTAACCTTTGACCTCTCCAGTATGGTGCCAACCTTCCTGGCCACAATGAATTAACTCCTTTGAGCACGATGTCTTAACACTTTGAGTACAATGACAATCGCTTAAGAATGTGTGTGTGTGTGTGTGTGTGTGTGTGTGTGATAGTAAGCCAGCGCAGTAGTAGTGTTTGTATTTTTACTGAGTCAACCTAACCTCGTCTTCCAATGTCTGTGCAAACGTAAAGCTTTTTACTGTAAACACACACACACACACACACACACACACACACACACACACACACACACACACACACACACACACACACGCACACACACACACACACACACACACGCGTTTCTTACACACTATTGTAGCTTTGGTACATAGGCATGCATGCTTGGTGTACACACACACACACACACACATAGAGGTTTGGTACCCACATACCTAACCTAACCTTCTTAAGTTAGATGACTGTGTGAGGTGGCAACTGAATCGGGTAAAATGTGTCAGAAGAAATTGATGATCCTCGTTCATGGTAAAAATTACAGGCATTAAAAAGAAATGAAGTAGAGAGACTGACAGAGGTGATAAAGATGTCAAAACAACAGGAAATTAGAATCGCATAAAGGAAAAAAAAAGATAATAAATTGTGGAATGAAGAGAATTAGAGTAAAGATACATGAATGAGAGTAAATGATATACTGTTACGGTTTAGTATGTAGTTTTGCTTAAGATTCCGGCCTCTCTCTCTCTCTCTCTCTCTCTCTCTCTCTCTCTCTCTCTCTCTCTCTCTCTCTCTCTCTCTCTCTCTCTCTCTCTCTCTCTCTCTCTCTCACATTAAGTAGTGGTCTAGTTATCACGTCACCTCGCCAACGAACCCACAACCAAATATTTGTTTTGTTGCGTCGCAGCTCAACCATAAAGGTCTATATCAGAGCAATTCGTCAGGGAAGGATTGGATGAGGTTTATAGCGTGTGTGTGTGTGTGTGTGTGTGTGTGGTTGGCTTACAGATACAGACAGATAGACCAGCCATAGATATAAGGCTTAATTTACCTTCCCTATTGTCGTAAATCAATGGTGTTACTTTATTGTTTTAAGTAGAGAAATAAGAGGAAAAAGTTCGACGAAATACTTACCCATTCATGCGCTGCCACATACCTAACCTAACACTACCACATACCTAAGCTAACACTACCACATGCCTAACCATACCATACCATATGTTGAGGGGATGATGATGCTGATAGTGGGAATAATAGTGATGATGATTATAATAATAATAATATAATTTTAATGGAGTTATTATTAGTAAACTTTACTATTATTATTATTATTTTCTTATTATTACTATTATAATTTCTAACCAACATAACAGGTCAGTGTGAGGTGATCTACAGAGCTATAACACACTCATAAGAAACTTTAAATATGCTCAATAAAACCTGAACATTTTTATAGTAATTATACGAACACAGAACGATAGCCGTGTAGAGTTATATTGTAATTAAGGGAAGTATCGCAAATTACTGTGGGATAATATTGCCATCAAGTATGTCTGGTTAGTGGAGCGCTGACTGTCTGTTATACAACTTTGGTTTCGCGTTTGTGGGATTTTATATTTTTGTGTGATTTTATTTTGTGTAGTTGTTTTTATTGTTTTTATTTTTTATTGGTGTTGAAATTATGTAGGTATTTGTTCGATTTGTTTGTTTTTCCCGGGGTTTATTATTGTTATTTTTGTCATTTGGTGATTGGAAAATACAGTTCGAAAAATAGAGTATTTTTTATTTGCTTTTTATTTGTGAAAGAAAACCAATTAGGCAATAAATTATATAAATTTATTTACATTTGACTGAAAAACTGATTATGTGAACACATTTATGATTATTTGTTAACATATTTTGTTCAAGTAAAAGCCAGTTGTAAATCTTACCTCTTCGAAATATGTAAATTATATGCCTTAGATATAATGTGTAAGGTGAAAAAGGGCCCATTTACAGCGGTTTACATAATTACACTGTAAATGAAACTATTTTACTGAATGATCAAAAAAGAATATTAATAATGAATAGAGAACAACAGATATTAATAAGAATAGAAGCAATGAAAAAATCGAAAATATGTACGTATCAGCAGATGTGTGGAGTCAACAGGTGTGTAAGAGCAGGTGTGTGTAGAGGCAGCAGGTGTGTAGAGGCAGCAGGTGTGTGTGGAGGGTGTCAACACAAGCCAGTCATTGTTGTGTACACTGTCAAGCTAATTCCTATCCAGCGAAATGGATTTTTGTTATGGCCACTGGTATTGTTGTTGTTGTTGTTGTTGTTGTTGCTCTTGTACTTGTTGCCATTGCTGTTTTTGTTGCCATTGTTGTTGTTGTGGCTGACATTTAAACTTGTTGATGTTTTGGTTGTGCTTGTTATTACGGTTCATTGTTATTGTATTTGTTGTCGTTCTTGGTATTGGTAAATCCTGTATTTGTTATAGCTGGGAAAGATCCTCTGATTCTTGTTTTTTCTGCCTTTTGTTGTTGTTTTTGTTCTTGTCGTTTCCCTGACTCTTGTTTTTTGTTGCTGCTCTTCCAGATAGTCATCGTCATCATATCCACCAGGTGTTCCTGTGGGTGTGTGGAAATAATGGCAAAGCATTTGGCTGTAGGTTAGTTTTAAGTAAATAATAATTAACTATAATACTAATGATAAAAATAATAATAGTATTAATAATAATAATAATAATAATACAGTAATAATACTACTAATAATAATAACAATAACAATAAAAAGTAATAATCATAAAGTAATAATGATAATTATAATAATAATAGTAAAGTGATAATAATAATTTTAAAGCAAGTGTATCAATCTTCAGGTCAGATGAATTATTAACGCCGGTAGCGATGCAGGAGGTGACACCCTTACTGGCACTGTACTAGAGCCAAGACCTAAGTGCCTCTCTTCAAGGTGTGGAGTGGAGGCGGTGGTTAAGCCTGTGTTACCGTGAGCACTCTCCCTCCTGCAGTAGGTTGCATCGTCACTGTAAACCGGAGTTCACAAGGGCTTTACCTGATACCACCTTCGGGAGATTCTAAGACACCTTGTGATTGAACAGAGAGAGAGAGAGAGAGAGAGAGAGAGAGAGAGAGAGAGAGAGAGAGAGAGAGAGAGAGAGAGAGAGAGAGAGTTTTAAAGCAAAGGACTATTTTCTCGTGTTTGTGTCTGGGACAGTACCTGGATATGGGATAGGTAATAAACTGTGACTCACCTGGGTGGCGCAGATGGTGGTGGAGGCTCAGTTTAAGTGCATCGCTTGATGGCCTGATTATAGGTGGTGCCGGGGGCGCAGGCTTGCTCGTGGGGTGTTATTACTCCATCACCTGTAGCGGGGGAGAGAAATGATTAGAGAGAGAGAGAGAGAGAGAGAGAGAGAGAGAGAGAGCGACATTATCTTTTCCAGAGAGACAGACACATATGCTTCACCAACTGCTACTTACGTTTCCTCCTCTTTTGATACTTAACACACACACAAACTTGTCAGTCACATTTTACATACTAACAACAGGTGCCATCCTCTTCTCCACGTGTGGCACCCCAGCTGGCTCTAGAGTGCCACTTATACCTGACCTTTCGATGCCTTGTACTCACCGTTCGAGTCCTGGTTGGAGAAAAAAATGAAAAAAATAACATTAGTAGAAGGATATTTATTGGAGTTTAGTGTTATTTTATTATTAATTTTGTGTTACCGTTTTAGTGTTTATTCCGAAGCAACAAAACAGTTTCTTGCACTTAATACATTATACTTGTACATGTACTTGTAACTATATCTACTGTATTTTCGTACGTGTACTCATACTTGTAGGTATTCCCTACACTTGTACCCGAACTTGTAGCTGTGCCTGTAGTGTGTGATGTAACATAAAGAAACACAAGACTACTCACGAAGCACCAGTAGTAGGTAGTAGCATCAGCGGGGTTGGGTAGGAAGCAGTTGTTGCAGTTACAGTTTTTAGGAATGGGCTTATTGTCATAGTTGCACAGACTGGACGACTGGGACCAGATCAAACTCTCGGGACAGCTCATCACCTGAGGGCCATACATTGTGCACTGTACAAACAAGTTAGGATTGGTTGGGTGAGGGTGATATTCGTAAGTGGTCTTGCAGCGAACTTCCTGCCCAGAGATGACTGTACAGGTTGGCAGGTCACAGTCCTCAGCGGTCACCATCTCCAGACTTAACCCCAACACCACCAGGATCACCAGGGTGGATGTAGTGGTGAACAGCTTCATGCTAGAGGTTTTGGAACGGTTGTATCAGCAAGTGTAGGAGCTGTTACTTATGATTTGGTTGATGTGTTGTCTAACAAACGTTGGAATACTCTGGCTGTATGGTGGTGGGGACGCGGTATAAGTACCTGCCCTCGCCATCATAGACTCGCTCCCCCTGACGTCAACTACAGCTTACAGAGGATTACAGAGAGGTGTGTCAGTGAAACAATCCTTGATATCGTTAATCTCTATGAACAGTTGACACACTTTCTATAAAATTCCATAAGCTTGATGATTACACGTAACATTCAGATGATTGATTATATATTAGTTATGCTTTTCCTGATGGACTTATATCATTAATTACTATGAAAAATGTCGGATCGCCTGAAGATTAAACACCCCGGTCTAATTCTCCAGAAGATAAACCAACATAACGTTACCTGAGGGAATAGGTTAGATTAAGGTAGGTTAGGATAGGTGAGCGTCCTAAGTACTAATTTACAGCCCCTACCGTTAGTATCATTAGCCAAACATCAAGACAGACACACAATACCTGCCTCAAATGTCAACAGGTGTTAATTGAAGTATAAACACGTGTTAATATAAACAACATAAATGAAATTTAAAGTTACTAAAAGGATTTTTTTTTATAAATGTAAATCGGTTGTGTCACTTTGTTTTAATAAAAGAAATACCTAACGCTACCACATACTCGTACATAACCTAACACTACCACATTCTTAACTTAACACTACCTCATACCTAACCTAACACTACCACACTCCTAACCTAACACTAACACATACATAACTTATAACTACCTCATCCCTAACCTAACACTACAACATTCTTAACTTAACACTACCTCATACCTAACCTAACACTACCACATTCTTAAGTTAACACCACCTCATACCTAAACTAACACTACCACATTCTTAACTTAACACTACCACCCTATCTTACTACCACATTCTTAACTTAACACTACCTCATACCTAACCTAGCACTACCACACTCCTAACCTAACACTACCACATACATAACCTAACACTACCACATTCCTAACTTATAACTACCTCATCCCTAACCTAACACTACAACATTCTTAACTTGCCATAACCACATTCCTATCCTAACACTTCCACATCCCTAACTTTACATTTCCACATACTTAACCTAACACTCCCACATACCTATCGTAACACTACCACAGTCCTAATGGAACACTACCTCATACCTAAGCTAACCATACCACATACCTAACCTAACCATACCACATACCTAACCATACCACATACTCTCCAACACACGGACACTAATACAGGTATAGACTGTGTTGTTTCCCGCGTTCCTGTGCCTTAAATGAATCATTCCGTCGGTCAGCCTCTGGGCTATGATGCTGCCGTGAAAAATTCTGATCAATGGGAAACTCAGCTCATGTTGTGTCTCTGGCCGCAAGACTTTAACCTCGAGGTATATGGTGGGTCTGTATGTTGTTTACTTGTTTACGTCACTTTGTTTATGTTTTGATGATGTTGTGAACGTAAGAACATATCAATGGAGGAAACTCAAACGGGCCTATTGGCCCATACTAGACAGTCCCGTTTACACCCAACCCCTATCACTCATATATCCATTCAACACATGTTCGAAGCTAGCCAGTGTATTCGAGTTAATGATGATGTTTGGTAACTTGTTCCATTCATCCACTACTCTATTTTCAAACCAATGTTTACCTATCTCGCCCCTAAATCTAAATTTGTCTTTCCTTTCTTTGTTTTTTGTTGTTCGGGGTTTAGCCCACCAGGGCACACGTGACTGACCCACATCGGAGCCTCGGGAGCGAAAATTTAGTAATTATTCATAGTAAACTAAATTTATAATAAAAAGTAAAATAAAATAATAATGAAAATAATAATAATAAAAACACAGTAATAATAATAATGACAATAATAATAATAATAATAACAATAATAAATTACTATAAAGAAATACAAAAATGGAGAAAAAATCAATAATGAGAAACGCTATATGTATGTCGTGTTGTCAAGTAAGAGAAACAATTGAGACCTGCAATTGTGTGTAAATGAGGCAGAAGGACAGATGAAGAGCTTGGAACTTGGTCTCAATTTTCGTGATGCCATATAGCAGCATGGTCTACCATTAGACAACACATAAGGCTTCCAATATCTTCCCAGGCCGTAGAACCTCCCTGTTTGACAGCTGCTACAACCTGCTACCTCAAAATTGCTACGAGTTCGCTGCTGATTGGATAGTTTGAATACCTTTGTTATACCACCTTTGTTTAGCCCTGACTTCCATTTATTCACCTCGATCATATCGCCCCTCACTCATCGTCTCTCGAGAGAGTGCAAATTTAGATGCTTTAACCTGTCTGTGTACTCAGGTTCTTAATGCGAGGGATTAGTCTTATCATAGCCCTCTTAATTCTTTCTTGAGATTCTATATCCATTCTGTAGTACGGTGACCAGAACTGAACTGCGTAATCCTATTGAGGTCTCACAAATGCAAGATATAGTTTTAGGATAACCTCGCTAGTCTTGTAACTAACACTCCTTAGTATGAACCCAAGTACTTTGTTAGTCTTGTTTCAAGCAAATACACATTGTTGACTTGGCTTAAGATTCCTACTCCTAAATGTTTCTCACAGTCGGATGAAGATGATGATCATGATTTGATTTTAAAAGAAATAAAATTAAAGATTATTATTATTATTATTATTATTATTATTATTATTATTATTATTATTATTTTAATTATTATTATTATTATTATTATTATTATTATTATTATTATTATTATTATTATTATTATTATTATTATTATTATTATTATTATAAACCACCAACATAACAATCATAAGAAACTTTGAATATGCACAATAAAGCCTGATCATTTTTTTAGTAATTATACGAACACAGAACGATAGCCGTTTAGAGTTATATTGTAATTAAGGGAAGTATCGCAAATTACTGTGGGATAATATTGCCATCAAGTATGTCTGGTTAGTGGAGCGCTGACTGTCTGTTATACAACTTTTGTTTCGTGTTTGTGGGATTTTTTCATTGTTTTTGTTATTCTTGTAATAATTAGTTTTGCATCGTGTTTTTCTTGTGTTTAATGATTTTTTATATTAGGTGTGATTTTATTTTTAAGTTTATGGATTTTTTCGTGTTTTGGGTAATTCTTATTTTTGTTTTTTGTGATTTTTATGTTTGTGTGATTTTATTTTTTAGTTTTTTATTATCTTTATTTTTTTATTAGTGATGAGATTTTTTTCAGTTTCTTATGAGTTTTTTATGATTTAGTGATTGGAAAATACAGTTCGAAATAAATTCAAAATTTTTATTTTTTATGGATTTTTATTTGGGAAAGAAAAGCACATTTATGAATATTTTCTTTACATTTTTATCTATTAAAAGCCAGTTGTAAATAATTTTCTATACTGGATTACTTGATTGCAAGATTAAAAAGGACAATTGTAAATTATATTCCTTAGATATAATATGTAAGATGAAAAAATCGGCCATATACAAGTGTTTACATAATTCCAGTGTAAATGAAAATGATTTACTGAATGATTAAAACAAGTTCTTATTAGAGAATGCAGAGCAACATGGGTTAATAAGAACAGAAGCTGTGCAAAATTGACAAATATGTACGTAGTAGCAGGTGTGTGGAGACAGCAGGTGCGTATAGAGCCAGCAGGTGTGTGTGTGGAGGGTGTCAACACAAGCCAGCCATTGTTGTGTACACTGTCAAGCTGATTCCTATCCAGTGAAATGGATTTTTGTTTTGGCCATTGTTATTGTTGGTGTTGTAGATGTTTTTGTTGACGTTGTTGCTGCTCTTGTAGTTGTAGCCATTGCTGTTGTTGTAGTTGTTGTTTTTATTGTTGTTGTGGCTGGCATATAAAGTTTTTGATGTTCTGGCTGTACTCGGTACTACGGTTCATTGTTGTTGTATTTGTTGTCCTTCTTGGTAATAGTAAATCCTGTTCTTTTGTTGTTGCTGCTTTGTTGTTTGTTGTTGCTGGTCTTCCTGATAGTCATCTTATTTTATCATATACACCGGAGTATTGTTCCTGTTGGTGTATAAATAATAGTAAGCTCTTAATTGGCTGTATGCAGGATTGGTTTAGTAATTAATAATAAAAATGATAATAATATTAATAATAAAGTAATAAGACTACTACTACTACTAATAATAATAATAATTTAAAAATAATCATAAGGTAATAATGATAATAATAATAATAAAAATAAAAATAATACGAATAATAATAATAATAATAATAATAATAATAATAATAATAATAAAGCAAGTCTATTAATCATCAGGTCAGTGGAATTATTAACGCCAGTAGCGATGCAGGAGGTGACACCCTTACTGGCACTGTACTAGAGCCAAAACCTAAGTGCCTCTCTTGAAGGTGTGGAGTGGAGGTGGTGGTTGAGCCTGTGTTACCGTGAGCACTCTCCCTCCTGCAATGGGATTGTATCGTTACTATAAACCAGGTTAACAAGGGTTTACCTGATACAACCCTAAATTCTAAGACACCTTGTGAATTAAGCTGAGAGAGATAAAACAAAAGGACTATTTTCTCGTGTTTGTGTCTGGGACAGTACCTGGATATGGGATAGGTAATAAACTGTGACTCACCTGGGTGGCGCAGATGGTGTTGGAGGCGCAGTTTAAGTGCATCGCTTGATGGCCTGATTATAGGTGGTGCCGGGGGCGCAGGCTTGCACGTGGGGTGTTATTACTCCATCACCTGTAGCGGGGGAGAGAGATGATTAGAGAGAGAGAGAGAGAGAGAGAGAGAGAGAGAGAGAGAGAGAGCGACGTTATCTTTTGCAGGGACACAGGCACATATGCTTCACCAACTGCTACTTACGTTTCCTCCTCTTTTGATACTTAACACACACACTAACTTGTCAGTCACATTTTACATACTAACAACAGGTGCCAACCTCTTCTCCACGTGTGGCACCCCAGCTGGCTCTAGAGTGCCACTTATACCTGACCTCTCGATGCCTTGTACTCACCGTTCGAATCCTGGTTGGAGAAAAAAAGGAAAAAAATAACATTAGTAGAAGGATATTTATTGGAGTTTAGTGTTATTTTATTATTAATTTTGTGTTACCGTTTTAGTGTTTATTCCGAAGCAACAAAACAGTTTCTTGCACTTAATACATTATACTTGTACCTGTACTTGTAACTATATCTACTGTATCTCCGTACCTGTACTCATACTTGTAGGTATTCCCTACACTTGTACCCGAACTTGTATCTGTGCCTGTAGTGTGTGATGTAACATAAAGAAACACAAGACTACTCACGAAGCACCAGTAGTAGGTAGTAGCATCAGCGGGGTTTGGCAGGAAGCAGTTGTTGCAGTTACAGTTTTTAGGAATGGGCTTATTGTCATAGTTGCACAGTCTGGACGACTGGGACCAGATCAAACTCTCAGGACAGCTCATAACCTGAGGGCCATACCTTGTGCACTGTACGTACAAGTTAGGATTGGTTGGGTGAGGGTGATATTCGAACCAGGCGTAAGGGTTCTTGCAGCGAACTTCCTGCCCAGAGATGACTACACAGGATGGCAGGTCACAGTCCTCAGCGGTCACCATCTCCAGACTTATCCCCAACACCACCAGGATCACCAGGGTGGATGTAGTGGTGAACAGCTTCATGCTAGAGGTTTTGGAACGGTTGTATCAGCAAGTGTAGGAGCTGTTACTTATGATTTGGTTCATGTGTTGTCTAACAAACGTTGGAATACTCTGGCTGTATGGTGGTGGGGACGCGGTATAAGTACCTGCCCTCGCTATCATAGACTCGCTCCCCCTGACGTCAACTACAGCTTACAGAGGATTACAGAGATGTGTGTCACTGAAACATTCCTTGATAACGTTCATCTCTATGAGAATTTGAGCCACTTTGTATAAAACTCCTTAAGCTTGATGATTACACGTAATGTTTAGATGATTGATTATATTTGTGGTTGATGATAAGCCTCGCATATTAGGAAACATCTTGATGGTATTGGAAGTCTATATACACTTAGAGAAATGTTCCGTTTATGCTTTTCCTGATGGACTTATATCATTAATTAATATGAAGAAAGTCGGATCGCCTGAAGATTAAACACCCCAGTCTAATTCTCCAGAAGATAAACCAACATAACGTTACCTCAGGGAATAGGTTAGATTAAGTTAGGATAGGATAGGTTAGCGTCCTAAGTACTAATTTACAGCCCCTACCGTTAGTATCATTAGCCAAACATCAAGACAGACACACAATACCTGCCTCAAATGTCAACGGGTGTTAATTGAAGTAAAAACACGTGTTAATATAAACAACATAAATGAAGTTTAAAGTTACTAAAAGGATTTTTTTATAGGCGTAAATCGGTTGTGTCAATTTGTTTTAATAAAAGAAATAAGAGTAAAAAGTTCTACCACATATTTAACACTTCCACATATCTAACGCTACCATATACCTAACCTAACACTACCACACTCCTAACCTAACACTACCACACTCCTAACCTAACACTACCACACTCCTAACCTAACACTACCACACTCCTAACCTAACACTACCTCATACCTAACCTAACACTACCACATACATATCCTAACACTTCCACATACCTAACCTAACACTACCACATACATAACCTAACACTACCACATTCCTAACTTAACACTTCCACATACCTAACCTAACACTACCACATACATAACCTAACACTACCACATACATATCCTAACACTTCCACATACCTAACCTAACACTACCACATACATATCCTAACACTACCACATTCCTAACTTAACACTAGCTCATACCTACCCTAACACTACCATGCACCTAACCTAACCATACCACATACCTAAGGTAACCTTACCACATACCTAATCATACCACATACTCTCCAACACACGGACACTAATACAGGTATAGACTGTGTTGTTTCCCGTGTTCCTGTTCCTTAAATGAATCATTCCGTCGGTCAGCCTCTGGGCTATGATGCTGCCGTGAAAAATTCCGATCAATGGGAAACTCAGCTCATGTTGTGTCTCTGGCCGCAAGACTTTAACCTCGAGGTATATGGTGGGTCTGTATGTTGTTTACTTGTTTACTTCAGTTTGTTTATGTTTTGATGATGTTGTGAACGTAAGAACATATTAATGGAGGAAACTCAAACGGGCCTATTGGCCCATACTAGACAGTGCCGTTTACACCCAACCTCTGTCGTTATATATTCATTCAACACATGTTTGAAGCTATCCAGTGTATTCGAGTTAATAATGATGTATGGTAACTTCTTCCATTCATCCACTACTCTATTTCCAAACGAATGTTTACCTATCTCGCCCCTAAATCTAAATTTGTCTTTCCTTTCCTTGTTTTTTGTTGTTCGGTGTTTAGCCCACCAGGGCACACGTGACTGACCCACATCAGAGCCTCGGGAGCGAAAATTTAATAATTATTCATAGTAAATTAAATTTATAATAAAAAGTAAAATAAAATAATAATAAAAACAATAATAATAAAAACACTGTAATAATAATAATAATAATAATAATAATAATAATAATAATAATAATAATAATAATAATAATAATAATAATAAATTACTATAAAGAAATACAAAAATGGAGAAAAAACCAATAGTGAGAAACGCTATATGTATGTCGTGTTGTCAAGTAAGAGAAACAATTGAGACCTGCAATTGTGTGTAAATGAGGCAGAAGGACAGATCAGGAACCTGGAACTTGGTCTCAATTTTCGTGATGCCATATAGCAGCATGGTCTACCATTAGACAACACATAAGGCTTCCAATATCTTCCCAGGCCGTAGAACCTCCCTGTTTGACAACTGCTTACAACCTGCTACCTCAAAATTGCTACGAGTTCGCTCCTGGTTGGTTAGTTTGAGTACCTTTGTTATACCACCTTTGTTTAGCCCTGACTTCCATTTATTCACCTCGATCATATCGCCCCTCACTCATCGTCTCTCGAGAGAGTGCAAATTATGATACTTTATCCTGTCTGTGTACTCAGGTTCCTAATGCCAGGGATTAGTCGTGTCATTGCCCTCTTAATTCTTTATTGTGATTCTATATCCATTCTGTAGTACGGTGACTAGAACTGAACTGCGTAATCCTATTGAGGTCTCACAAATGCAAGATATAGTTTTAGGATAACCGCGCTAGTCTTATAACTAACAATCCTTTGTATGAAGCGAAGTACTTTGTTAGTCTTGTTTCAAGCAAATACATATTGTTGGCTTGGGGTAAGATTACTACTCCTAAATCTTTCTCACAGTCGGACGAAGATGATGATGATGATCTGATTTTAAATGAAATAAAATTAAACATTATTATTATTATTATTTTTATTATTATTATTATTATTATTATTATTATTATTATTATTATTATTATTGTTATTGTTATTGTTATTGTTATTAATATTATTATTACCACCAACATAACACTCATAAGAAACTTTAAATATGCACAATAAAACCTGAACATTTTTATAGTAATTATACGAACACAGAACGATAGCCGTGTAGAGTTATATTGTAATTAAGGGAAGTATCGCATATTGCTGTATGATAATATTGCCATCAAGTATGTCTGGTTAGTGGAGCGCTGACTGTCTGTTATACAGCTTCGGTTTCGTGTTTGTGGGATTTTTTCATTGTTTTTTTTATTCTTGTAATAATTAATTTTTGCCTCGTGTTTTTCTTGTGTTATATGATTTTTTATACTATGTGTGATTTTTCTTTTTAAGTTTATGGATTTTTTTCGTGCTTTGGGTATTTCTTGTTTTTTGTGATTTTTTTGTAATTTTATTTTTCACAGTTTTTTATTGTCTTTATTTTTTTATTAGTGTTGGGATTTTTTTCAGTTTTAATTTTTTCACAGTTTTTTACTAATAGTTTTTTATGATTTAGTGATTGGAAAATACAGTTCGAAATAAAATACAAATATGATATTTTTTATGGATATTTATTTGGGAAAGAAAAGCACATTTATGAATATTTTTGTTTACATTTTAATCTATTAAAAGCCAGTTGTAAATAATTTTCTATAATGGATTACTTGATTGCAAGATTAAAAAGGACAATTGTAAATTATATTCCTTAGATATAATATGTAAGATGAAAGAAATCGGCCATATACAAGTGTTTACATAATTCCAGTGTAAATGAAACTGATTTACTGAATGATCAAAACAAGTTCTTATAAGAGAATGCAGAGCAACATGGGTTAATAAGAACAGAAGCTGTGCAAAATTGACAAATATGTACGTATTAGCAGGTGTGTGGAGACAGCATGTGTGTAAGAGCAGGTGTGTATAGAGGCAGCAGGTGTGTGTGTGGAGGGTGTCAACACAAGCCAGTCATTGTTGTGTACACTGTCAAGCTGATTCTTATCCAGTGAAATTGATTTTTGTTATGGCCACTGTTGTTGTTGTTGTTGTAGATGTTTTTGTTGATGTTGTTGCTGCTCTTGAAGTTGTTGCCATTGCTGTTGTTGTAGTTGTTTTTATTGTTGTTGTGGCTGGCATTTAAAGTTTTTGATGTTCTGGCTGTACTCGGTACTGCGGTTCATTGTTGTTGTATTTGTTGTCCTTCTTGGTAATAGTAAATCCTGTTCTTTTGTTGTTGCTGCTTTGTTGTTTGTTGTTGCTGCTTTGTTGTTTGTTGTTGCTGCTCTTCCAGATAGTCATCGTCATCATATCCACCAGGTGTTCCTGTGGGTGTGTGGAAATATTGGTATAACAATTGGCTATAGGTTAGTTTAAGTAAATAATAATAAACTATAATAATAATGTTGATAATAAAAATAATAATACAGTAATACCACTACTAATAATAACAACAATAACAATAAAAAGTAGTAATCATAAGGTAATAACGATAATAATAATAATAAAAGTAAATTAATAATAATATTAATAAAGCAAGTCTATTCATCTTCAGGTCAAAGGAATTATTAACGCCGGTAGCGATGCAGGAGGTGACACCCTTACTGGCACTGTACTAGAGCCAAAACCTAAGTGCCTCTCTTGAAGGTGTGGAGTGGAGGTGGTGGTTGAGCCTGTGTTACCGTGAGCACTCTCCCTCCTGCAGTAGGTTGTATCGTCACTGTAAACCGGAGTTAACAAGGACTTTACCTGATACCACCTTCGGGAGATTCTAAGACACTTTGTGATTAAACTGAGAGAGAGAGAGAGAGAGAGAGAGAGAGAGAGAGAGAGAGTTTTAAAGCAAAGGACTATTTTCTCGTGTTTGTGTCTGGGACAGTACCTGGATATGGGACAGGTAATAAACTGTGACTCACCTGGGTGGCGCAAATGGTGGTGGAGGCGCAGTTTAAGTGCATCGCTTGATGGCCTGATTATAGGTGGTGCCGGGGGCGCAGGCTTGCTCGTGGGGTGTTATTACTCCATCACCTGTAGCGGGGGAGAGAGATGATTAGAGAGAGAGAGAGAGAGAGAGCGACGTTATTTTTTGCAGGGACACAGACACATATGCTTCACCAACTGGTACTTACGTTTCCTCCTCTTTTGATACTTAACACACACACAAACTTTTCAGTCACATTTTACATACTAACAACAGGTGCCACCCTCTTCTCCACGTGTGGCACCCCAGCTGGCTCTAGAGTGCCACTTATACCTGACCTCTCGATGCCTTATACTGACCGTTCGAATCCTGGTTGGAGAAAAAAAAGGAAAAAAATAACATTAGTAGAAGGATATTTATTGGAG